TTAAAGTATCTGCATTTGTGAATAAAAAAAATTCCCAGTAACAAAACCGTTCTAATCATCAAGTCAAAATCTGCATTCTCAGCAAGCATTTAAAATTTTATTACAGTCACCGTCAAATGGGGTAACTGAATTCCCCTGGACTGTAGCCAGCTCCACATGTCATTCCAGAAGCAGTGCACTGATTCACAGTAGAAAAACAAGTGATCCAGACTTTCAGTGTCATTTCCACAAAATGTACACACATCTAAGTTAAATTTCCGTCTTAAAAATTCATTGGGTTGGGTAAATCTCATTTATGATTTTAAAGTTAACCTCTTTTACTTTAGCTTCCATGGTCTCAAATTCTATAAGAATATAATTTCTTTTAACTGGATTAGGACAATTTTCATTTATCAAAATATTCCTGATTACCTTATTTACAAACCTGCTGTCACCAGATTAAACTCCAGCTATTCAGAGCTGTCTCAGTCCAGGAGAGAACGAGGGATCAGAATCTCGAGTCGTGCACACTATTGTTTCATTTAGTGTGTATCCATGAGATTCGTGCAGTAGGTCCAAGTTGTACCTTGAAAACAGGAAAGTCGTCTTTAATAACTTTAATAGCAGACTTGTACAAAGTGAGGCTTTGTGCTCACATTTGCTGCAAACACTCGTTTTAATTCTGTCACCCTGTTTTGATGAAGAATTCAGTTAAAATCAGGCAACAACAGGACTTTCTTTTATAATGTGTTCTTGTGAATTGATTGTGTATCGCATACATTTGATTTGGGTTGCAGTTCTTATTTCTGCAAGACAACAGTCATCTGCTGGCCAAAAAAGTTTTCCAAATACCTCCACGTGATCAAGCCTGGATTTAGAAAAGAACAGCAAAAAAAATCTGCACCTCCTGCTTCAGATGGAATTTTTGTTTGTTTGTTCAGAGGCTGCGGCGGGAGGCGAGACCTTGGCTCAGCCGGAGAGCCTGACCAGGAGGAGTCGAACATTACCCTGGCTCTTCCGGGGCACCCTGCAGGCTCGGCTGCTGCCATTGTCGAGGGAGTGCAGCCGCTGCTGGGATGATGTGAACGCCAAACTGGAGTCCATCACAGGTCGACTGCATGTGAGTCAAACCTTCTGAGGAGTGTTTCACTTTTCTCTCTTCTTTTCATTGACTCTTTTCTCTCTCTCTCAACTCCTTGTCTCAAAGTGGGAGGGATTTGAAGCACAAAGAGAGGAGCTTGTCCTTTGGTTGGCTGATATGCATGACCACCTGAGTGAGGTTGACCAGCTGACAGGAAACACCTGTGAAAAACTGAGACAACTGCAGGTGTGGGGGTTGTTTTGATATGACATATGTTTGATATGATACATACGTCAGAGATATCCTAAACTGGACTAACAAAGGATCATGAGTCCAACATGAAACTTACCTTACATAAGGTGAGGCTGAAGTTCATTGATAATTTTAATCAAAAACTTGTTGTTGAAATATTTTTACTGAACATGCAAACATCTGCTGATGAAAATGTGTTGATTTATTCGTCTGTTATGAAGCTATTGCTATTTCTAAAGTGTTTTTATCACTTTCTGATGTTTTATTAATTAAAAATTACATGTATTAATTGTTGTGTTATCTTAGTATAGTTTTTATATGTATTTATTTATAGTCTAGTAAACATATATTTAATTATTACTGTTTAAATGACTAATATGTGACATGTATTAGTAGTGATGTTGTGCTGCGGTTTAAAATGCCTTTTTTGGTATACTATGAAATGGCAATAAACCATTAATATATGTCTATGTGCTCATATTTATTTTACCCTACTCAAATTTAATTTATCATACATTCTATTTTGAAAGATTTAAAATGGTTCATTAAAGAATTACTCAAAAACGGTTCCTTAAAATGTTTTTAAAAGAACCGTTTTAAAAAAAAGGTTCTTTGAAAAACCTTTAAAGGTGCCCCAAAGAACCATTTCTTGATGGTTCTTTGGGGCAACTTTAAAGGTTCATCAGTGAACCACTGAAAGAAATGGTTGAACAGAGAAAAATGAGAATATGAAAGTAATTTACTTCATGAAATAACTCAGTGCTGTAGTAAAGAAAAACTAAACATAAGATAGAAAAATAAATTGATGGAGTTACAAACTAAATCAGGTGATCTTTACCTTGAGAAAGCCCAGGGTGCCATTATAAGATCGAGAGCAAAATGGATTGAGGCAGGTGAAAAAAAAACTCATCATATTTTAGTACCGGTAAGCTGGAAAAATGTAGACAGCAGAGAAATTTAATCACAAGCTTGTTGATAAATTGGACTGAATGTTAAGATTTCAGAGGGAATGAAAGGGAAGTCTTCACTTTCTATTCCGAGCTGTACTCCTCAGAATATTCAGCAGCTGATGCTGATAGTTTCTTTAATAAGATTCATAAGCTTATCCCATGTATTGACAAACCTTTTAAAGATCTGTGTGATTCAGAGCTTAAAATTGAGGAACTGGATTTAGTGGTCATGAAAATAGCATTAAAAAAAGTCCCCAGGGACAGATGGACTCACTGCCAATTTTTATCAATTCTTCTGGAAGGACCTAAGAACCCTATTATTTGATGCATTAAAAGAATCTATAGAGAAGAAAGAACTGATGCCAAGCATGAAACAAGGGTTGATTACCCTGGTCCCTAAATCGGGTAAGGACAAAAGAATTTTAATAATGGATTGGATTTATATAGCGCTTTTCAAGGCACCCAAAGCGCTTTACAATACCACTATTCATTCACTCTCACAATCATACACTGGTGGAGGCAAGCTACAGTTGTAGCCACAGCTGCCCTGGGCAGACTGACAGAAGCAAGGCTGCCATATCGCGCCATCGGCCCCTCTGGCCAACACCAGTAGGCAAGTAGGGTAAAGTGTCTTGCCCAGGGACACAACGACCAGGACAGAGAGCCCAGGGATCGAACCGGCGACCTTCCGGTTACAGATGCGATTCCCAACCCCCTGAGCCACGGTTTTAGACAATTTAAGACCCATCACCTTACTAAACACTGACTATAAGATCCTATCTGGAGCTGTATCTGAGAGGCTAAAGAAAGGCATCTCAAACATTATCAGTGAAACACAATTAGGTCTTTTGAAAGGAAGACTAATTCATAACAATATTAGCCTGGTTTTGGACCTCCTTGAGTAAAGTGAAAAAATTCAAGAGAGGGGATACATCCTGTTCTTGGATTTTTATAAAGTATTTGACTCAGTTGAACATATGTTCATATTAAAAAAGCAGTCTTTTTGGTTTTGGAGAGGAATTTATGAATGTTATAGAGATGTTATATAATGACAACAACAACAACTCTGTTTTGCTAGAACATGGTACGTGTTCAATGTTTGAGGTCAATAGAGGAATAAGGCAGGGATGTAGCAGCTCACCACTTCTGTTCATCATGGTTGCTGAACTGTTGTCTATTCTGATTAAAACAGTCACATTGACGGTTAACTGTGATGGGTGAACAGATAATAATCAGTCAGGTGGCAGATGATACCAACCTGTTTTTAAAAAATGAGGACTAGATTCCTTTAGCCTTACAGCTTCTCCAAAGCTTCTGGCCTACAGATGAATATTTATAAATGTGAGATACTGGCTCTGCATGAGTGTCCCCTGCAGTCAACAAGTAATATACAGATCAAAAAAGAGGTGAAGTATCTGGGCATCGTAATTTCCAAGGATACGTTATTAACAGAAAATAAGAATATCTGTACCAATATAGAAAAACGTAAGTCAATTTTAAACAGGTGGTTGCAGAGGGACATAACTTTGTTTGGGAGGATTCTGCTAACCAAAATGGACAGTCTACCCAGCCTAATCTATCCAGCCTTTTCTCTGTCCACATCTCCAAAACGAATTAAATCTATAAATCTTAATTTTAGGTTCATATGGAGGAACAAATGTCATTATATAAAGAAAAATGATATGATTAAAAACTATGAAAAGGGTGGGGCTAATGCCATTGACTTTGATGTTATGAATGGTGTACTAAAATTGAAATGGTTAAGATCTTTCATTGGGAACAAAAATTCCTTTTGGAACATTATACCCAATATGATTTTTGGCGAAATGGGTGGAACAGACTTTTTGTTACTTTGTTTGCAGTTCGTTACCTGTTAAACTCTCAGCTTTCCTTCAGCAGGTCCTTCTTTATTGGAAATTAATTTATAAACATAACTTTACTCACAATACCCCTATATGGAACAACAGGTCTGTCTGTGTAGGAAATCTGTGTACATGGATGAATGGAGGGATTCAAATTATCCCATTTACCTTAAATATGATATTGTTTGGAATGTTTCTGAAGGAAAAGAAAGTCAATTGTGGTGTTAATGTTCTATAAATCTTGTGTAAGCAATATATACATAAATGTCATTTTTTAAGACCAAACCAACCTTACTTCACTGGAAAAACGACCTGAACCTGTTATCTAAATCTTTGACTTTCGTTAAAAAGAAAAAGGCTGCATTTTTTGTTTCCCTTTTGGAAGATTTTGATTTAGTGAATTAATATTCTGTTAACTTTTATGACCCCGTCTTTATGTCTTCTTTTTCTTCTTACAAAGGTTGAAAATTGTATTTTCTGAATGTATAATATATGGTGCGTTTTGTTTGTATGTTGATTTTGCTAATAAAAAACAACAACAAAAAAAACAACAAAAAACCACCGGACCGTTTGGTCGCTACATTATTAGTCTTCCCTGTGCAAATGCAACCAAAGAAAAGTTCCGAGCAGGCTGGAAACGAGCCTCATGTAAGCTTTTTTTACAAGTATGAACCACGTGGTTACTTTTAGCATGTCCTCTCCTTACAGTGACTTTACCCGTTCCATTATTTAACACGGTATATCTGTATATGGTTAGCGGTATTTATTAGCGTTTAGCAACTCGAAATGCAAGCTACACCAGGAAGTGACGTATTATCATGCCTGTCGAAAAGTGACCTATCATCCAAATAAAAGTTGGGATCCTTTAATGTAAGTTTGACCCCCATCTTTATGGGCTAAGATAATATATAAGTCACAGTACCGAGGAGCAGTTCTCGGTTGCAAATGTAATGCATTCGGGATTTTGTGCTCAATCGATTTACGCCGCTTAATAACATGGGTGGCTAGCGTAGCTTTGTAAAGCTTAGCAGTTTGTGTCCAATTTTTGCATGGGTGGTCTTGCTGCAGAGACACACTGGATTCTGCGCGGCTGTTGAATCCCATATGTTCGAAACTGCTCTTAGCGCTTCCTGGCTCGCTGGCAGGAGAAATGACATCTCTGGTTAATCACTCGTTGTTGTTTTTAAACTTGTGTCACCTTAGCTCGCTTTTTGATGAAGACTTGAGTGAGTGGTGGAGCCGCTGAGTAACCATGGACAGTTTGTCCAGCCACAGCTCCTACCTCCTCCAGCAGCTTCAGGAGCAGAGGATTCAGGGTCTGCTCTGTGACTGCATGCTGGTGGTCAAAGGGGTTTGCTTCAAAGCCCACAAAAACGTCCTGGCCGCCTTCAGCTCCTATTTCAGGTGCCATTATCTCGTTTGTAATAAACGTTAATCATACCGAGTTGCTTCAAGGTTTCCAGATGCATTAAGTATTACTCTGATCTTTTCAGGTCCTTGTTCCAAAATTCCCCCAGTCAGAAGAATGACGTGTTCAACCTAGTTATCCAGGATGTCAGTGGCATTGGCCAGATATTGGACTACATGTATACCTCCCATCTTGATATTAACCAAGATAATGTGCAAGCACTCCTAGATATCGCACAGTGTTTGCAGGTTCTGAATGTGCAGAGCATGTGCAATGCTTTCCTCAAGCCCTGTCCTCCACCAGTGGAAATGCCTTCATTTTCGCTCTCAGGCATGTTGGGTTCAGAGCATGACTGCCTGCTTGGAAGCAATCTTCCTAACGATGTTGACCTGCCCTGTCCCTCTGAATCCCAGAGGCCTGGCTTCAGCAGTGACATGGACCACACCAGGAGGATGCCAATTTCTGTGCCTAACAGCAGCTCACACTGTGAAATGGGTAGCAGCTCTCAGGCACCAGTAGAAAAGCAGCTAGTTCATGGGTACAAGCTCCGCAACTTCTACAGTAAGCAGTACTTTAAACAAAGTGCAATACAGAGCAATAGTGCAAATTCAAGCCAGGGCCCTTCAGTGGTGGAAGAGCAGCAGTGTCAACTTGCGATAAACCAGGCAGGCAACAGCACCCCCGTGAACTCAGGAAACACAGTTCAGCCTAATCAGTCTTCCATATCAGTGAGTGTGGACAGGAACCCTGACTCTTCTCTCACACCCTCAGATAATCTAAACACTCCTAACCCAGACTCCTCAATGAACAAGCCAATGCGCCCAAAGAAGGCCGTCTACCTGAAGAAATATAACTATCTTCGGTCTCAGAAGGCTTTGGAGGAGATGTGCACTGAATCAGTCATTGAACCTGTCCTTAGCTGTTCAAAGGAGAGCCTTCAAGGAGAGACAGTGGTCCAGGTTCAAGCACCAGAAGCTCCTGTAGAAGATAGCACTGCAGCCAGAGATGAGGTTGCAGACACAGCTGCAGATGCACAGCTTCCCAGTCCTCCACCTGTGAATGAAGAGGAGCAAAATCTAAAGCCTGTGCCGGAGACAGCTCAGCAATCGGGACACAAGCAGTACTGCTGTGAGGTGTGTGGGAAGATCTTCAAACACCCGAGCAACCTGGAGCTGCACAAGCGCTCGCATACCGGTATTTCCTGATTTTAACGGCTCTAGAATCACACATTTAAGGTTGAATTATAGGAATGAATTATAATGCTCTTATGCATAAACTGATCTGTTCTGTTATAGGCGAGAAGCCCTTTCAGTGCAACGTTTGTGGAAGAAACTTCTCACAGGTATTTTCTTTTGTGCTCTTCTAATGTAATAGTTATTCTTAGATGTTCATATTAAACTCAGATGTCAGACGGATTCTGTCTTACAGGCTGGAAATTTACAGACACATTTGCGGCGTCATTCTGGGGAAAAACCATACATCTGTGAGCTGTGCGGGAAAAGGTAAAGTGAATTGGATTGATTTTCATTTGTCTTCTTTTGCCATCTCCCTGTCTCTACTTTAAGCATTTTCTTGGTTTAACTGAGTTTGCCTTTACTAAGACAAAAAGTGCTTCCAAAGTTTTCCCAGGCTTGTTAATATTATTCTATCACTTGTTCAACTTCACACATAAATAATTGTAGTTGCATAATAACACACTAATGAGGAACTGCTGTGAGTAATTAACAAAGTGAAAGAAAATATAATTTTCTTGCCTAGCACATAATATACTATAATATCCAACAAATATATGATATGATATTTTCCACTTACCATATAGAGATATAGAGATATCAGAACTGATGATTTCTTTACTGTCCTTTATTATTCATCTGTGTTTTCCAGCTTTACTGCATCAGGGGATGTCCAACGTCACAAAGTGGTGCACACAGGAGAGAAGCCACATCTGTGTGACATATGTGGCCGAGGTTTGTGGCAACTCTCAGCACGAGCAATAATCTCAGTCAGTCATTTGATAATACAACAATCTGAGAATTTGTAATGTCTTGCTGCTAAAGTGAGCTCCTGCTGATGTTTAATAGTAACTTGAACTGCTTTTATTGAGAAATGCATTTCTTGTTCCTTGTTAATTGTTCAGGATTTAACAACTTGAGCAATCTAAAGGAGCACAAAAGGACTCACGCGACAGACAAGACGTTCACCTGTGACCAGTGTGGAAAGTCCTTCAACACGCACAGAAAGCTTCTGAAGCACAAGGCCCGGCATGCTGGGGAAAAACCTCATAGCTGCGCCACCTGTGGTAAGTTATAATGTCACAATCTATTTAAAAAATATATTTTTAAGAGTCTACAACAGGCCCAGTTATTTAACATAACTTTCAGCAGTATTTTAGTAATGGAAAATCAAATCAATTCTCAAGTCGGAATAAAAAAAAGTCTGGACTAGAAACTTCCTAGCAGCCAAACTGTTGGGTGGAGCTCGACACTGGTTGGTTAAATAGTTAATGTGAATGTGAGATCAGAGGTCTAATTTGACACCATATTTGGATGCAAACTTTAATGTGATATTTAGAATCCCCATTTACCCGTATGATTTCCTAAATATCATCAATACAAACAATGGCTATAAGAAACATAGTTTTAAGTAGCCTTATTATTATCACTTTGACCTTTGACATAGATTAATCTTTTGACCTTAAAGGAGAGGTCAGAGGTCAGCTATGATATGATATTTTCAATACTGTTATTGTTCATCTATATGCTGACTATACCCACCAAACTAGTTATAAGTCTTTTTATACATTTTCAACCAACAAATCATTCAGTTGACCTTAAAGACCTTTGTGGAAGTAAGCATAATTTTAATGCATAACATAACGTAGGTTCCTTGATGGATGTAATTACCATTAACAATGTACAGTTTTGCCACAAAGGTAGACCCAACACCAAAACAGCAGCTGTCTCTGTTTCCTTCACAGATATTGTTTCAGTCTTATAGAGCCACGTTTTACAACAATTTGTACTGACACACTCGGAATCGACACTACAACCAAGGTTGTTGCAATATTATTACATTAGCTAACAAGTCCAGCTGGTCTTGGAATGCAATGGAAAGCCAAAAGCGTAAATGGCATTTACCTGCATATTCTTTAAGGCTCTTAAAGCTTGTTTATCTATAACAGCATTTTTTTCCCCCATGCTGTCATTGTTTAAACATGATGTGCACACGGTGTTATTCATTTGAGATTTCTTATGAATTAATACAGGGAAGTGTTTCATTGGCTCAGGAGACCTACAGCGTCACATACGGTCACACACTGGTGAGAAACCTTACATCTGTAATACCTGTGGAAAGAGCTTCACCCGGTCTGCCATGTTGAGAAGACATAGCAACATGCACTGCAAGGGGCCTCCAGTTGAGAGTCAGGTCACTGTCAACTCTGAGCAGACACATAGCGCAGATGGCGGCACGTCATTACCCAAAGCTGTCAGCCACAGTAAACCTGCTGCTGCCAGTGAGCAGCATTTCTCTGCTATGATGCCCCACACAGAGTTAGAGAAATCCTCAGCGCCGGCTCCTTCGCCATCACAAGCAACACCACATATAGAGACTTCACCTCCCAGCATTCAACTGAGCCCAGGATCTACCCCGCTTCCAGAGCTGCGCTCCCTGGTTCCCCATCACCTCCTTTCATCCGGCCACCAGGAAAGAACTGCAACCCTATCTGCCACAGATCGTACGAAGCTGGCCAAACCCCACGTATTGCAGGAAGCGTCATATGGTCCGTATGTCGAGAACGGGAACATGCCAATGGATAGAGGCCCAGCGGGGAGGCCCTACCTGCCTCCTACAGACAATTACTGCAGTTCCCTCACAGGGACAAGCAGGCCCTATAGGTCCAGTGAAGGCCAGTTTATCTCTAGTGTAACTCTGTGGGGCCTAGCAATGAAAACGCTCCAGAATGATAACGACATGGAGCAGTGAGCATGTCATGTCACACAGCATTGCCGGATCAGCTACCCAGTGAACTTAAGTGACTTTTACTCAACTGAATCATATTTCTACCACCTGGATCATGAGGGACATCAAATCAGAAAGGACGGGGCCTTCTCTCTCGCTAGTCTGCTAAGTAGAGTAGACCGGAGAGCAGCTAGAACAGCAGCTTGCTTGAGACAAATGATAAGCTGAGGGGCTGTACAAGACCCAGTATAAGATATTATTCTGAACTCTAAATCATGCAAAACTGAGGTCTGCAAGGCACTGACGTCGCAGTGCAGCGGGAATTTTCAGGGCTCTGTGATTCAGTGGGATTTATCGTTTGAAACTATTGTTCCAAATCTAAACATCCCAGGATGCATCATACATCAGCTACATTCTTTCATTTGGTTTGTACTGCGCTGCACTTTAAGATGTAAAGAAATGAGCTTGTTACTGATTAAATATTTGTGCAAGATCTCTCTGTGATATATTTATGTAAGAATTAAAGACCTACCCTTTCTGTATTGTAATGTCTCAGTTTTATTTAAAAGGAAGACATTAACTTACACAGCATTTTAGTTTTTCCAGTGTTCACTGTGTAGCAGGCGAGTAGCTATATGGGGAAGATATATTAAATTTAAAGTTTAGGGTCAGCTAAGCAAATACTTTTTTTTTTCTTCTTCTTGTTTGTATAAAATGAAATATTAAATTTATCAAAAACACCACGTGGAATAGCCTCCATCCCACAATTCTAAGAACAATAAGATCCATTCACATGAATAAGCAAATTTTAAGCTGTGCTAATATTACTGGAAAACTGAATTTCTAGTGCTGTCAGCATTAGGTTACTCAGTGTGCCACTGGAACACACAATTCAGTTATCATTCACTCATGAATGTTTGCTTTATGATGTAAACTAAACACCAATTAGCAGATCCTCACTGTGATGGAATAACACTTCAGCTGCTCAAGCTTCGACTTCAAATGATAAATGTTTGTAACGGCAATGACAAAAGTCATCCTGGTCATCCGTCTGTTTCATAGTCATCTGTCCCTATAAATAACCCATTATATATGTGTATATAATTGTTTTTAGATTATAATGTCAACTGTAAAATTTGTGTATAACTAAGCTCTGCCCAAGTAGAAATGTATAAAGGTGCTTCATCCACAGCAGCAGCTTTACTATGCAGCAAAAGCCTGCAGTTGCAAGGTGCAATGCTTAAAGAGGACAACAGAGGGAGCTGTAAGATATATAACACCGGTGTTCTGAGAAACCATCCTACTCTGACAAATCGTCCTACCTGTTTTATAATTTTACGGTGACTTGTGACTAAACCTAACCCTACCCCTAACCATAACCATAACTATGGGCTCAAATTGTGGTCATAAATATTTTGTACTTCTAAATCAGGATTTGTATGTGTAAAAGTAATTTGTGTGTGTGTAAAAAAGATTTGTGTGTGGACTTAGCCAAAATATACGTGTGAAACTCTGCACTCAAGTTTCAAGTTACAAGTACGAATTTTGATCCCGTTTTTCTTCCTTTCATCTGATTGGCCAATGTCATGTCAATCACAAATTTAACTATCCAATCAGAGAACAGATGAGTTTGGCTGTCGGAGGGGCAGTTGAAAACATTGGGTAGGATGTTTTTTGAGGTAGGATGGATTCCCAGAACACCGGCCCACTCTGCTCTCACGCACTGAGGTATGGGGTATGCTTAAAGGGATTGATTTGGTGTTATGGATCCTGTCGGTGAATGTTGAAGACGAGGCATTCAAAAAGTGATATTTCCACTCACCACACACCCAGTGAACACCAAGCATCAGTAAACATTGTGCAGACGCACTGCAGCATGTCGGGTAAAAAGTGCACTGAGCTTTCTTTACGAGATAGGCAGCTGATAATTGGCCGTCATTGCCACAGTATACAGCCGCCGTTACTCCATGCCTGCTAGATAGGTTGCCTAGCAACACATAGGATCAATCTGTTATCATGTTGTTCATTTGTTGCCTTTACTCCAACTACGATGGGAAAGGGGGCAGGCACTCTGGGTAGAGAGGTGTGCACCTCTTACATCCTGAGTGTGGTGTCATGCCACAAAAATTAACACCTCACAGTATCCTTGTATCTCTCATGTAGCTGTGATATTAATAATTAAGCTTAGGATAGTGGTGTTTTTTAAATAACTCACTTTGCTTTGCTGAAAGCGGTTACATTTCACTACACAGAGAAGTTATTTAAACCCTGGTCAGCTTGAGTGCATTCTCACTTTACAGCAGATACCAAAGTGTGAGAGCGTGAAGAAATCCCGTCTGTCCTTCGCAACAGCAGACTGACCCTTTTTCCTAGTCTATCAAAGTCTCCCAAACCTCCCAGTTGTTATTAGCGGGGAAATGGAAATTATATTTATACAGAAATGTTTTATGTTTATAAGCAGAACGGTAAACAATCAGAAAATCTTTACAATGATGATGACTGAGCTCATATAATGATCATATCCAACAAGTGCAATTTATTGTCGCTCATGTGTCCTCTGCCTTCAGCAGAAAATTCAACAAAAATGGCACAAAAATATAAAACACGGATTACGTTTTGGATGTTTCTTTTTGCCTGGATGTTTACACAAGGGAAACACTTATGTGCACCTAAACCACCGTTCCCATAGAAACCTCGCTTTTCATATATTCATTATATGGCAATAACTACACCAGTTTGACTCTCTGCCAGCTAAACGAGTGACTTTGAGGGTGAATCCTCTCTGCTCATGACCCCCATTTCTCACTCTGTGTCGCTGCTTCCCTCTCCCCTCGTGCTAAAGTTAATCCTGATTATGTACGCCATCTAACTGGTGCAAAATGAGACCCAGCCTAATGCCATTTTACACAGAAACGCTTCCAAAGCCTGTCTTTTGTTCCAGCATCTAATCACGTTTCACTGCTTTGTGTTGTCACAGGCATATGAGGATAGGTTTAATTAACAAGTGAGTGTGAAATATATAAATCCAACCAAATTTGGCTGACTGGGACATTTCACCGCAGAAACTGAGCAGTCAGCTTTAACCTCAGGCGAACAACTCAGTTTTTTTCTTTTCTTTATTTTGCTGTTTTTTGTCTGTATTTGTAGTGACTGTTATCCCCAAATTTTTAGCATTGTTATTGGATTTTTGTTTGTTTAAATAAAATAAAATAAAAAACCATATATCTCTTCATACTCTTCAGATGAAAATCAACAAATTTCCTCTATTGCCTTTCAAAAGTCATGGATGTTTTCACCTGCTGTGCACCACAGCTTTATTATCGCGCTTATGTCTGCATCAGCACCAGAGATGTGAACGTGTTCTGGCAGCGGTTTCAGCCAAGTAGTAATTGCTGTGGAGCTGCGGCTTGTTGCTGTGTTGGATGAGATGGATAAGTGGCTGACCTAGTCTCTGCGCTATAATTCCTCTGTGTGTCACAATATGAAAGAGGCTTAAGCAGAGGAGAAGAATGGTGATTGTTCCTACTGTTGCTTTGCTGCTTCTCTCTGCTGTTTCGCACTGCTTTTCTCTTCTCCTCAGACAGCAGCTACCTGCTTAGCTCCATCCGTTTCACTCCAATCCGGCCAATACATAACTTATCATAGCACAGACCGATGCGCACAGTGCTACCAGATTAATGTGAAGTTGTCAGGGTCACCTGTTAAGTGGTGCTGTAACCATCAAATGTGTACAGAAATGTGCAGTCTGTGGTTTTAACACACTCACTTGTTCAAGGAGGTTTGTAGTTAAATGCACACTGTGGATATGCCATTTCACATTTATGCTGTCATACCCCCAATTCTTTCTCTACAATCATTATCTTCCTCCATGTCCTGCTTTCTCTGGCACACACACCCACACACACTAAATACACACACGCTGGCCTTTAGCTACTGTACCCAGGTGTGTTTTCTCTCTGGGTCTGCACAATAAACTTCCAGTTTCCTAAGATGCGTTTAGACACCTGTCAGTGTGTGTGACAGGTTATTCTTTGTTTTCCCCCCTCAGGCAATGAAATGAGGTTGTTTCAGCACACATACAGTAAAGCTCACAATGGGAAGGAATGAAGAGCTGATTTTATAGCCAACCATGTGGCTTGTTGTCCACGCTAATGCTACCAGTTCTAATTTGTAACTCTATTCCAAATATTACAGTGACATGCTGTGAGAAAATTGAGAGATGATTGGCTACATCTGGGATCCCCTCGGGTACTGTGTGTCTATTTGTAGGTTGTTGTGTCCCTGCATGTTTAAAGACAGCAGCAGTTCTTCAACATGGGTGTGCTGTCAGTAACTAGAGCTTCAAGAAGACTGAACCGTTCCAGGCAGGTCAAAATGTCTGCTCCAGTTGACGAGAATAGAGAAGTTGTTTCACATGAAAAAAAAAAAACCCAAACACATTTACCAGAAGATTCTGTATAGTAATCAGGGTGAGAAAGCTTGAGATATAAGCTGAGCACAAACACTTACAATAAATACATATACTTGAGATATATGTTGTTTAGTGGTGAATTTCAGGGGCGTCCGTTTATGAATTTATTTACCTTAGACAGTTTGTCTTTGTGCTTTGCGGAGCTAATCTCAGCAGCTGTGGCCTAATATGGCAATATCTTTCATATTACTGTAGCAAGACAGCAAAACAGTTTTGTGAAAAAAGAGAATACACTATAAGGACTGAATTAAATATCATCTAGTCCTTACCAGGCCTTCCAATTAAGTAAATCCAACAGTGTCACATGGTACTACACAGTTTCATTATTCACTCTATTTATATAGCACCAAATCACAACAGCACACACCTTAAGGTACTTAATATTTTAAAGTAACTGCAACTATACAGAGAAAACAACAACAAACCAACGACCCCCATATGTTCAAGCACTTGGCAACAGTGGGAAGGAAAAACTCTGTGGAGGGAGAACCCTCCACAAAAATTTTTTTTGTATCTGTTTATGTATTTAACATATGCATAAGAGCTGGGGGGCAATTGCAGTTGCTGCCCCATGCCCCCCTGTAGCTCCTCCCCTGCCCCTCTACCACTGCTTGGGTTTCCCTAAATATGCTTCTTTTTGCAGTCAAACATCACCACTTTGGTCTTTTCTGTCCAAATGACATTCTTTCAAAAGTCTTGTGGTTTGTGCACATGCAACTTTGCAAGACGTGCTGCCATGTTTTTTTGTTTGTTGGTTTGAGAAGAGACTTTCTCTTGGCAGTTGTTCCAAACAAGCCATGTATGTTATCCCATAATACATTTGATGGTGAAATTTCCAAATACTTCTAACTTAAAATATATATTTATTGATATTGCTGCTATAGTGTCACGCCTTTTCTGTATGTGAAGGCTGTAATGTAATGGTTTTACAAAGGTCTGTTTCAACCTTAACTAGGGGTGGGAATCAAGAACCGGTTCTTGTAAAGAATTGGTTCCCAGTAGTCCAATTCCTTGGAATTGTTAGTCTGCCTGCCTATCGTTCCTACTTATCGGTTCTTGCACTCGCGCTACAATCAGCTGATTTCAGGTTGCATGTCCAAGGAGGAAAATAGCAACGCAGTCTAATGGATATGGACATTTATTTTTACTGCACAAAAGGACGAGATAAACGGTAAAGTGGAAAACTGCATCCAGGGCAGAGACAACCGCATTGTGCTGCTAACACAACTTTGGTTCTTTGCAAGCATCCACAGAGAGCATGCTAATGCTAAACTAGTCAAGAACCCAGGATGAAAGTGTTGGCAATTTCTCAGATTTATATTGTTAAATGATGATTATGAATGTGTTTCAGCTATTTTTTGAGTAATGATCACAACAAAGAGGAGAAATACCTCAGCAAACAAGCACAAACATTTGACCCAAAGCATACAATTAATTTGCATGAATGTAATTTTTTTTATTTCTGCTTAGCACTAGTGGTTAATCTCAAAGAGCCGATGAGAATCTAAAAAGACTTGATAAATAATCAATTCGATAAGTGATATCAATAATGGAAATGGAATTGGTAAATCTTATCAATATCCATCCCTAACCCTAGCCATGGTCTTTTCCTAAATCTTTCCAAATTATCCTATGTTGTACCAGACTGGAATCCTACACTGAAAAAATTTACTTTATTTACTTAATTCAATAATGGACATTGGTTGCACACAACTGTTTTGCTTTGGCAGAAACTTAAACAACTGAGTTAAATCAACACAACTTTTTCATATTGAAACATGTTTAGATGAAGTAAAGTGAGCTCTTGGAATATTTTAATCCTTCGCAATTTTGTCATTTTATTTCAACACTATTCAATAACTTTTAGCCCAGTACTTCTTGGTCACTTAATTACTACAT